CACTGTCCCGACTATCGCTCAGTAGGTACAGTTGCAGATCGTCGTGCCACGTGTCAAATGCTACAGGTCTGCCTTCCGGGTCGAACGGGAGAACTCGAAGCGACGCCATAGGGGCCGAGGGGCCAAACAGGGGGCCGGGCGCAGGGCTCTGAGGTGGGGCCGAGGGGCCTAGGGGCCGGGGGGCCAAAAAAGGGGCCGGGGGGGCGGGCGAAGGGCTCTGAGTTGAGGCCGAGGGGCCTAGGGGCCGCGGGGCCAAACAAGGGGCCGGGGGGCCTAGGGGGGGCCGAGGGGCCAATCACACGGGGCCGAGGGGCGGGGCCGGGGGGCCAAAGAAGGGGCCGGGGGGCCGGGCGCCGGGCTCTGAGGTGGGGCCGAGGGGCCTAGGGGCCGCGGGGCCAAACAAGGGGCCGGGGGGGCCTAGGGGGGCCGAGGGGCCTAGGGGGCCGAGGGGCCAAACAAGGGGCCGGGGGGGCGGGCTCCGGGCTTTGAGGTGGGGCCGAGGGGCCTAGGGGCCGCGGGGCCAAACAAGGGGCCGGGGGGGCCTAGGGGGGCCGAGGGGCCTAGGGGGCCGAGGGGCCAAACAAGGGGCCGGGGGGGCCGGGCGCCGGGCTTTGAGGTGGGGCCGAGGGGCCTAGGGGCCGCGGGGCCAAACAAGGGGCCGAGGGGGCCTAGGGGGGCCGAGGGGCCTAGGGGGCCGAGGGGCCAAACAAGGGGCCGGGGGGCCGGGCTCCGGGCTTTGAGGTGGGGCCGAGGGGCCTAGGGGCCACGGGGCCAAACAAGGGGCCGGGGGGGGTCCTAGGGGGGCCGAGGGGCCTAGGGGGCCGAGGGGCCAAACAAGGGGCCGGGGGGCCGGGGGCCGGGCTGTGAGGTGGGGCTGAGGGGCCTAGGGGCCGCGGGGCCAAACAAGGGGCCGGGCGCAGGTGTTGTCGGGCCGGGGCTAGGTGCGGGGCCGGGCGCTGGGCGAGGGACTGAGCCGGGCGCGGGCGTAAGGTACGGGGCCGGGCGCTGGGCTAGGAACGGGGCCTAGCGCGGGCTAGATACGGGGCCGGGCACTGGCAAGAACGGGGCCGGGCGCTGGGCAGGTACGGGGCCGGGCGCTGGGCAGGTACGGGGCCGCGCGCTGGGCAGGTACGGGGCCGCGCGCTGGGCAGGTACGGGGCCGGGGCGCGGGCTAAGTACGGGGCCCGGCGCGGGCGTTATACGGGCCTGGCGCGGGCTAGGTACGGGGCCAGGCGATGGCGACAGACGGGGCTGGGCGCGAACTAGGTACGGGGCCGGGCGCTGGCTAGGGTCGGGGCCGTGCGCTGGGCTAGGTACGGGCCGGGCGCGGGGCTAGGTACGAGCCGAGCGCGGGCGAGAGACGGGGCCGGGCGCGGGCAGGGTATGGGCCGGTCGCGAGGCTAGGTACGGGCTGGGCGCGGGGCTAGGAACGGGGCCGAGCACGAGGCTAGGTACGGGCCGAGCGCGAGGCTAGGTACGGGCCGGTCGCGGGCGTCGACGGGGCGCGGGCTAGGTACGGGGCCAGGCGCGGGTGTCGACGTGGCGATCGCGGGCTAGGTACGGGCCGGGCACGGGCGTGAGAAGGCACGGGCCGAGGGGCCAAACACAGTGGCCGCCGAGCGCGAGCTAGGTACGGGCCAAGCGCGGGCAGGAGACTGGGCCGGGCGCAGGCTAGGTACGGGCCTATCGTCGCGGTACGGGCGGGGCGCGGGGCTAGGAACAAAATAGTAGGTGGTGGGCCCAAGAGTAGCCTACTCTAATACCATGTTAGAATACTAGCGAGAATGACGAGAATGAATGACTAGGAAAGGGGGAGGGGTACAAGTACAATGTCGAGAGAAATTGTGTACCCCCTAAGGCTAAACCCACTATAGCCTAGACAACTGTAAACACATAAACTAAGCCTAGATACAACTAAGCATATATGTTTGACACTTGTGACCACTTGTTCTCCCCCACTTTGCCTATGGGGGTGTGTCAGAATATTATAGTGCTTACATTTGTGTAGGCTATAGTGGGGTAGCCCATAATGGGTACAACCCAATTAGGGTTAGTACTTGTACCCAACTCTTTGCTAGTTCATTCATTCTCGTTCATTCTTCTGACATTTTTTTCTCTAACAGGTAATCTAACTGCTTCCTCAGTTCGTCGAGCTCGGGCTGTGTCAATCTGAACTGTCGCTGTACGGTTGGTTGTGCCCCGGGTTCTAACTCTATTCGATGAGCGTGTGCCCACTGAGGTGGCAGTCCCTCCGGTAAGTCGTCAGGAAAAATCCACGGGTACCATTTCAAAAGTTCCTGTAGTTCGGGTGGTACTACCGTCAGCAGTTTCTGAAAATCGCTCGGCTGCTCTGCTTCTTCCACTACTGCGATATCCACCGCGTACACGTCAGCTCAAGCAGCGACAACCCGTTTCATTGTGATGGCGTTGACGTGGACCGTTGAAGACCCAGGCGACTGCCAGCGAGGTAGTTCAACCCAATTACCACTACTTCGCACAGTGCAGCTACCCGTTGTCCATTCGATTCGCGGGTTGTACCGTCGCAGCCAATCACGTCCCAGTAAAATGTCATGCCCATCCAATGTCGTCGCGAGCATTTCTTGTGTAAACCCGAAGTTTCCCCTGCAGCAGACTTTTACTCTTTCCACCTTATCCTGTATGGCCAGCGTCATCCCATCAACAAAGCGTGCATCTATCTCCAGTAAACACCGACTAAGTGCCAGTTGCAGTTTCCGTGCAGTCGCGGTATTAACTAAGCTGTGACTTGCGCCTCCGTCTATGAACATCTTCACTGCTGCTCCCTGTATTTTCCCGTAGATCAGTACTGGGCAATCCGTCGTTGTACCCTCCTTATTCATCCGAGCCCGATGGATAGCGTGAATCGGTACTGTGACTCGGTGAGGGTCGGTGAGGTTGGGCGAGTAGGCAGTCTCGTCAGTAGTTGGCCCAAATTCTACTGTTTGCTGGCGTTTCCCTGCCTCTGAGACTCCCGCCCCTGCTCTGTTCCCCGGCGCCTCAGCTCCTTTGGGCAATCACTCTTGCGATGGCCCGGCCGATTGCAAGCAAAGCAGCGCCCCTTAAACGTTGCGGTAGCTGCATTCGTCGCAACGGCGTGTACGGTGGCGTGCTCGATTGGTCCCCGAGGACGTGTCCGTAGTAGGACCTCGGTCTCGGACGGCGCAGAATGTCGATTTTCTCGGCAAGCGCGAGGATCTCATTAAAATTCGAGAGCCCGCATAGCATGATTTCGTGCGAGATGTCTGGATTCAGCCCTCCGACGTAACGGTCCACCCGCCACGCTTCGTGCATATAGCTAACTTGCTCGCATAATGCGAGAAAACCACTCGTGTAGTCTTGAACCGATCCGAGCTGCCGCCAAGTACGAAGTCTCTGACGCGCCGAAATAGAATCCGCGATCGGCTCGAAACGCGCCCGAAGCCCTGCGCACCACGCATCCCACGTGCTGTACTGGGCTGTCTTGCAAAATGAACTCCAGGTGACGGCTAGGCCTGTGGGCCCTTCCTCTTGCGATGGTGGCTCGTAGGCACGTGGCGACGTCACGATGACTTGCCAACAGTCCATGGCGGGGCCCCTCAGCAGCGAAACGGCGTAGCGAATCTTCGCTGCGTCCGACTCGACGTAATTCACGTAGAAAAACACATTCATCGTGAAGACCCACGATTGAACCGTCGGATCTACATGTTGGCTTGGATCGAAACAGGGCGTGAGTGGCATTGGTGCCATGATGTCGTGGTTGCCGCTTGTTGCTGCAAATTCCACGTGCCGACGAGCTTCACGAGGCTCACGTGGGCTTGGTGTGGCCCTAATTCTCTCCATGCCAGACATTGAGTGAGTGGCGCCATCGCTGGCTACGCCTGAGCGTTGTCCCACACTGTTGTTCTGTGTCGGTGTGCCTGATGAGACGGTGATCGGCTCCTCCGATTGTGCAGGTGCATTTGTTGGTGCTGGTGCGTTCGCGGTTGATTGCTGGCGAGCGGAATCGCGTTCCGCCGTGAGCATAGCGATTTCGAGGGCCGAATCTTCGAGTTGGCGCACGAGACGGTCGAGCTGCTCTTGCGTCAGTGTCGCAATATTAATTTCGGCCATGGCGGGGGTGTCGGGCAAGCTCAGCGAGAGCCTCTGTCGTGGCCGTGCGTGCTTACGAGAGAGCACTACGAGCGGCGGTGCTTGGTCGCTGAGAGACGTCCCCCCCTCCCAAAAATAGAGATAGTGGGGAAGCGAAGGTGTGGGTGCGGTCCGAGAGAAGATCGTAGGCTCTGATAACCAAGTGTTATAAGTGCAAGTGAGTGAGCGAGTGAGGATTGCACTATCGAGACAAGAATACAATGAGCGAAGGATTGAGCGAAGAATATATAGCGAAGCTACAGTGGTAACGGTAACGTGGAAAATGGGGTGCGCGACGGGCCCAGTGCCGAGGTTGGGAATTGTCGAGGCGGAGGTCCGGAGCGCAGGTTACCAACCGAGCCGTGAGGTTGGGTCGCGTCGTGAACAGTGGCGGGAATAGTGACGAGGCGAATGTCGCGAGTGGTAACGGATTATTGTTGGGTGCTGTTGGCGGGAAACAGTGGTGTACGCGCTGAGTAAGGAAGCGAAGTAAGGAAAAGGAATTTTCCATACAATAATAATTGTTGGCATTCATCTGTATGTAATTTGAATGAAATGCTGCCGTATCTCCTAAGAAAAATGGAGCCTAAAAAAACTTGAGAATTTCAAGATTCACTAAACTACTTGATGAACACAAGCATTTCATGGAAAATGAAACACCTGCTGCGTGTTTACAAACCCCAATGGCATCCTAGCATCCAGGTAGAACATTTATTTTAGTGTATAGTAGAAAAGGCTTCATTCCCTAACATTTGTTATGTATTCCTTCTCTTACTCCCATTTCCATGTGTAGTACAAGCAACAAGATCCAGGTGTCTTATCCAGACATCCCACCATTTCTCCATCCCAGCCTACACATCTGTTTCATCTTTCTCCTATTCCTCTGAGCGGCACTGCCTCTCGTTTTCTGCAGCCACTCCCCCCTTCGTCTCCACCTGGTGGTTCAAATCACCACACCACTCTGCACCTTTCAACCCCTCCAACCCCTGCCGCCTCAACTGAAGCCCCTCTCCGCCTGGTTGTTCCCCTATAAGCTGCTCCTGTAAGAGCAGCAACTGGCGAAGCTGTTCCAACTGTGCCAGCTTGTCCTCCTTGCTCCCTCCTGCCCGCTCCCCTTGCAATGGCCGCCCTGGCAGAGCGCCAGCCTCCTGCTGGCGGCTCAAGGCAGGCTGAGAAGTCAATGGCTGCTGCTGCTGGAGCAAGGCAGGCTGAGAGGCCAACAGTTGCTGCTGCTGCTTCTGCTGCTGCAGGCACATGGCCGGTTGAAAAGTCATTTGCTGATCGTGGTGGTGAAACACAGGCTGAGCAGTCTGCTGCTGCTGCTGGTCTAAGGCAGGCTGAGAGGCCAACAGTTGCTGCTGCTGGTGAAACACAGGCTGGGAAGCCAACGGCTGCTGCTGGCCAAAGGCGAACCCAGTGGTCCATGGCGCTTGCTGCTGCTGCACCAAGTTGGGCTGGGAGAACATAGAAGGTGTCTGCAAAGAGGAGAACGAGTGCTGCTGGCATGGTGGGATGGAGGCAGGTAGAATTGACTCCATGTGCGTATGGAGTCCAGGAGATGTAACGGCAGCACCTGAAGGACCATGAGATGTAACGCCACCAGCAGCTGAAGAACCGTACTGTGGAGTAAGCAGGCGAGCAGTGGCAGCAGGAGTTGTAACGGCAGACCCAGCAACCGGTGGAGGTCTAAGCAGTGAAGGCGTAAGCAGGGAAGGCGTAGCCAGTGGAGGCGTAACCAGTGAAGGCCTAACCACTGGAGGCGTAACCATTGGAGGCATGACCAGTGAAGGCGTAACCAGTGGAGACGTAACCACTGGAGGCGTAACCAGTGGAGGCGCGGCCAGTGAAGGCGTGACCAGTGAAGGCGTAATCAGTGGAGACGAAACCGGGGAAGGCGTAACCCCAGCAAGGGCAGAAGCAAGTGCAGAGGCAAGAGGCCCAGAGGTCAGGTAAGGAAGGGTCGGAGAAAGTTCAGGCATAGTCACAGCAGGAATAGTCACACCAGGGATAGTCAGAGCAGGCATAGTCACAGCAGGCATAGTCACAGCAGGCATACTCAAGCCATGGAGATACGAAGCTGCAGATGGCCAATCCAAGGCACTGAGACCATGCAACGCCCCCTCTCCCCCACCCACTCCTCCCACTCCTCGCACTACCTCCTGGACATCATGCTGTGGCCCCACACACGCTTCTCCTGGACGGCTCTCCCCCTGCTGCTCCTGCCCCTGTTGCCTCAACGTTCCACCCATGCCCGCCTGTGCTTGCTGCTCTGCCAACGCCAACAGCTGACTAAAGAACTCGTCCTCCTGTTGCTGTTGCTTCTGTTGCTGTTGCTGTTGCTGCTGTTGCTGTTGCTGCTGTTGCAGCTGCTGTTGTTGCTGCTGCTGCTGTTGCTGCTGCTTCTGTTGCTGTTGCTGCTGCTGCTGTTGCTGCTGCTGCTGTGGCTGCTGCTGTTGCTGCTGCTCTAGCTGTTGCTGCTGCTGCTGCTGTTGCTGCTGCTCCAGCTGTTGTTGTTGCTGCTGCTGCTGCTGCTGCTGCTGCTGCTGCGGCTGCTGCTGTTGCTGCTGCTCCAGCTGTTGTTGCTGCTGCTGCTGCTGCGGCTGACGCCCATGTGGTCGCAGCCATGGCACATTATCCCCACCGATCCAAAGCACCAACTCTGAACCGGCCCCTGACTCTCCTCGCAGAAAATCCCCTTGCCCTGTCACTTCCCCTGATATTTCCATTGGCTGCTGCTGCTGCTGCTGCTGCTCCTTCGACTCCAACCCTGCCACAGCACTGTGCTGTTCCTCTCCTGCTCCTGCTACAGGTGGAGCTGACGCTGGCCGTCCAGATGTAACGCCAAGTGGGCGTACATCAGATGTAACCCATGATGCCAACAAGGCAGGTGGCTTTGCTAGCAGCTGAGGAACGCCTACTGGTGAATTTTGGGACTGGTGCTGCTGAGAGGGATCAGTCACTGGAGGTACTGCAACCACAGGTAACGGTGAAAGGGACGGCGGAACAGAAGCAGGATGGGTAGGTGCGAAGGAGGACGCGGTGGTAACCGCACGAGGTGTTATATGGTTACCAGATGCTGCTCCTGGGGGCCACGAGTGGAGGACGAGAGATTGGAGGAGTTCAGGGGAGAGGGTGGAGAGGAAGGGGTCTGGGGAGGGACGAGGGCGCAGCGGATGGTGTGGTGAGAATGGGCTGGAGTGGGTGGACGGCTGCAAGGGTGTCTGGGTGGGCTGCCATGTGGGAGTGTGGGGAGGCAGGGATGTGAGAGTGTGGGGAAGAGATGAAGGCACGCCTTTCTGAGGCCTGCCAGGAACTGCCTCGGGTGGCCTGGGCTGGGTGAATCCTGATTGCTTGTGCCCCTGCGGCGGCTGCTGCTGTTGCTGCTGCTGCTGCGGATTAATCTGTCGAAACCCATGTTGTTGGTGCTGCTCCTGCTGCTCTTCTTGCTGCTGCTGCCACCACAACTGCTGCTCCTCTTGCTGCTGCAGGCACTGCAGCAGCCGATGCTGCTGCCGATGACGCTGCAGCAGCTGCAGCTGCTCTTGACGCTGGTTCTCCTGCCGCTGCTGTTGCTGCTGCAATTGATGCTGTTGCTGCTGTTGCTGCATTTGATACAGCCAAGTGCTTTGTGGATCTATCTGCATCTGCTCTTCTGGCCACACTCCTTGAACCATGGCATCGGTGGCAGCAGATGGACCCATGGCAGCAGATGCACCCATGGCAGCAGATGCACCCATGGCAGCCGGAGCACCGACAGCAGAGGCTCTGCTTGCAGCGCTGTGGGACACGCCACGTGAGAAACGGTGTGCCCCAGGCATGAGCTGCTGCTGTTGCTGCTGTGGCTGCTGCTGTTGAAGCAGGTCCTCCAGTTGCTGCTGGTAATTTTCTTTGGTGCTTTGTTCACTTTGGACTGGCGGCTGCTGAGGCTGTTGCAGCAGCCACTGCTGCTGGTATTGTTCCTCTTGTTGAAGCTCCTGTTGGTGCAACTGCACAACTTGTTGCTGCTGCTGCTCCTGCTGCTGCTGCTCCTCCTCCTGCTGCCGCTGCTGCTGCAAAGGCAGCTGTAGCCTCTGCTGCTGGCGCAGCTGTAAATCAGCCCGGGCTTGAGCCTCGGCCTTGCTCAGAAACGCGTCTTCTATCTTGCGCTCTGGCAATTGCAACAAGCACAATGGGTGTATTGAGTGCAATGAGTGCAATGAGTAGAATGGGTAAAATGAGTATAAAGAGTGCAATGAATGGACTGGCTGGGTGCAATAAGTGTGCATAAGCAGGCACCACTGCTGCAACTGTTAGTTCTGTTAGAAACCTTAAAACCCTTCACTAAGTTCTGGTGCATGTTAGTTCTGTCTGCTGCATGTTAGTTCTGTCTGGTGCATGTTAGTTCTGTCTGGTGCATGTTAGATCTGTCTGCTGCATGTTAGTTCTGTCTGGTGCATGTTAGATCTGTCTGGTGCATGTTAGTTCTGTCTGGTGCATGTTAGTTCTGTCTGGTGCATGTTAGATCTGTCTGCTGCATGTTAGTTCTGTCTGGTGCATGTTAGTTCTGTCTGCTGCATGTTAATTCTGTCTGGTACATGTTAGTTCTGTCTGGTGCATGTTAGTTCTGTCTGCTGCATGTTAGTTCTGTCTGCTGCATGTTAGTTCTGTCTGCTGCATGTTAGTTCTGTCTGCTGCATGTTAGTTCTGTCTGCTGCATGTTAGTTCTGTCTGCTGCATGTTAGTTCTGTCTGCTGCATGTTAGTTCTGTCTGCTGCATGTTAGTTCTGTCTGCTGCATGTTAGTTCTGTCTGCTGCATGTTAGTTCTGTCTGCTGCATGTTAGTTCTGTCTGCTGCATGTTAGTTCTGTCTGCTGCATGTTAGTTCTGTCTGCTGCATGTTAGTTCTGTCTGCTGCATGTTAGTTCTGTCTGCTGCATGTTAGTTCTGTCTGCTGCATGTTAGTTCTGTCTGCTGCATGTTAGTTCTGTCTGCTGCATGTTAGTTCTGTCTGGTGCATGTTAGTTCTGTCTGCTGCATGTTAGTTCTGTCTGGTGCATGTTAGTTCTGTCTGGTGCATGTTAGTTCTCTCAGGTCGCCACAACGCCCACCTCGATTGCAAAAGGCAAGGCCACTGCGAAACGGGTGCATCAGCGGAAAGGGATGACAAGGTTTGTGAAGGAGGAAAGGGAAGTGGAGGAGTGGTACTGACAAGAAGTGGCAGAAGGTTGAAGGAGCTTTGGTGATGCTCGCGCGAGCGCGCGCGCGCGCACACACACACGCACACGTACACGCACACACATAGATTCACACTAGTGCACGCGCATGCAAACACAGCATGTCTCACCTTTCCTGTGGAGATTCATGTGCCCTCCAAGCGCCCGATGAGAATCAAATCCCTTGCCGCAGAATCTGCACTCATGTTCTGCCTTGGGACCAGCACTTAACCCCCCTCGCCTCCAAAGCCTTCCACTACCTGGCACTTTGCTGGTAGCTAACAGCTGAAAATCCTGCTGCGGCTGCTGGTGCTGCTCCTGCTGGTCCTCTCGGGCTTCAGACTGCTGCTCCTGCTGCACCATCCCTTCCTCATCCTCTGCCAAACCTGCTGCTTCTTCAGATTCTCCCTGCTCTTCACCAAAACTCCAACCATGTGCCGGCGCTGCTCCTGCTGCCGCTGCTCCTGCCGGAGCTGCTCCTGCTACCGCTGCTCTTGTTTGCGATATCCCTGCCCTCCGCTCCCCTCTGTCGCTCCCCCCACTCCCGTCCACCCCAAGAGCTCGTCTCAAAGTGGCCCCAAGCGTTGGCCAATCAGTTGCAGCCTCCCTCACCTCATCCTCGCTGGGAAGCAACCGCTGCTGCTTCCTGGGGTTCCCACTTTGCCTGATTGTACTCCCACTTAGCCAAGAACTTCTCTTAAAACCATTAGGCCAAGCGTCTGTCCTCCCAGCCTCTGCCTCAAGCTCCTGTATGCTCATCCCCCTTGCTCTCCCTCCCTCTCCGGCCAAACTACCTTCAATCCTCTCCAAACCTCCAACACCCCTCCTTTCCACGGTTTTTCCTCCTGCTCCTCCTCCACTGCCTTCTCCTCTGCCTCCTTCTCTTCCTCTTCCCTGTCCTCTTCCTCTTCCTCTTCGTCCACCCTCATGCTCGCTCTCCCTGGTTCCTGGAAGCTTCTCAAACTCCTCATGCGGTTCCAGCTGAGGCCTCTCACGCGCTCTCCTGCTATTGCTGCTGCTTAAGCTACGAGCCAGGTTACTCCTTGCAGTACACTCCAGGGGACCATGGGGTGCGGATACATCCATAGACGAGCGTGCTTGTAACGGGGATACATTCTCTGCCGCAGCCTGAAGTCCTGGCGATGACAAAGCCTTAGCAGCGGAGGAAATGACTCCTGGAAGGGAGAAACGCCCAGCTGACGACTTCAGACGTGCTTCTGTTAGGGAAAGCTCAGTCACAGCATGTGGAAGAGCAAGGCCGGAGGTCACAGGTTGAGAACCGATTGCTGCAGACGCAAGGGAAGAAGGCTCTGGAATTAGAGCGGCAGTGGGGACGTCTGGGGGGAGAGCAGCGGGTGCAGAACCCGCGTGCTGACGTGCGGGATCCATGCTGCGAACTCTCGTGAAGGAGTGAGACGTATGTTGGGGTTCGTACGAGAAGCTGATGCACGCGATGCGTTGCGAGCGTTGCAGTGTGCTGCAAACAGCAGCTTTAAACGAGATTCGCCTCAACCAGGTAGGTGGTTACACACAGTGGACGATTCGCCTCAAATTTCCGGCGCCGCGGTTGCTGCTCTGAGGAGATGAAGGGGCTCCAGCTTTGATTCCTGGCAGTTACGGCTTCCCCATGTCCTCTTAACTCCAAACACAAGCGAACTACGTTCTGGGCTCAACGTGTTTGCTGCTCAAACGAAGGCCTTCGCTTGAGAACTGTTGCGATGAAAGATCCAACTTTTACATCTGCTTCCATAACTCTGGGAAGGAGAAACACGAAGCTCAGTTTCTGGCGTCTTGTCGTGTGGTCGTCCCACTGTGACGCTGCGCGTGAAGGAGGGAAGCTTGCCCCAGATGGGCGCTGTGTATTGACACGGACTTCTGGCTGGTACGTCGCAGTTGCTCATGCCTGCGGTGACAGGAAACTGGTACGCAGTATCTTCAGATTGTAGAGTTGAGATCTTGCACACGAGACGGACGGTGACAGCGAGAAGTGGCTGGCCTTCTAGGACGGCGGCGAATGGTATTCTCGAGCATGTCGGCTCGCATCGCAGAAACTTCGCGTTCATCACGTCACTTGATGACGTACGAGGAGTGACCAGGAATAAATGTTAGTGTGATCCGTGAACCTTAGGGCAGAAGGAAGCTTAGACCCGCAGGCTCTAAAAGCAGGAAGCTGGCCAATGAAGACCGGTAAACAATCTAGTACAAGAATATTCACTTGGGGAAGATGGAAGTATGGGGGCCGCACAACGGTTGATGGGAAAAAATGATAAGTTCTGACAAGCTGTCACGTATAAGCACCGACATACCATTTCCAGTTGCGAGCTCTGGAGACACGGCAACTCCTGATTGGCTGAGAACTAACATGCACCAGAGAGTTCATCACCCAGGTGCATGTAAGATGATACCGCTGGAGAAGAAACAAGGGCGCTTCGAAACCTCAGTGCCGACCATTTTTGCTAGTGGAAGTGGACCCGTCATCCTTCGATTGTCAAATCACAGGATTGTTATTCCCAGAGCGCCCTTCACCTGTGATCAGAGTCCTACTTCGCACGTGCCTCGTGCATGCGCGCCGCTTCTCGAGTTCTAAGGTCAAGGCTATGAAGGGATTAGCAAGACGACTCTTCAAGCACTCTAACGGTCATGAGAGGTGGTAATGTCTCGAAGAAAGGAAAAGCTGCTCCTTGGTAGATTGACGGATGCCTGAAACACCACACAGAAAAGTTAGAGCAGACACTAAGAGCAGATGTTTGTTTGTCACTTGGAAACATCACACTTGGTTCGCGAAAGCTGGCGAGACTGTATGTCTGTCACCCCTGTTCAAATACACGTGTGTATGCGGAGCGGGTCAGGGGCGCACGGCGAAATGGGAACGAGCAGCCGTAAAAAGCTTTACGAAAACCGCCGAAGTCAATTTCGGGCAAACTTTCCCACATTGTTACATTTTTACATTAGAGGAATGAGACTCCAAACTATCTGCAATTCCGCATAAATATGATATTTTAATAAATCAGAAGTTAGGAGGAGGCTCTCGCTGAGCGACTCTCGGAGAGGTTGAACAACGCTCCGCACCTTCTCCGCCATAGGGCGGCTATAGATTTCTCCGAGCGTGTCACGGGTCACATCCTCGTTACCATGCCTATGTTTAACTTCCGTTGCTTTAACAAACTTCGCCTTTAACTTTAACAGTGGACAACCAGTCATTTCTGCTGACATTGGTTACTCCAGTTATAAGGCGCAAAGCCTCGGTTTCTGTCAGGCATTCCCAGGATTCCTAACCGGTCATTTTTCGCGTCATGGATTATCAGACTCATATTTTTCTACGATCTACACAAGCAAGTCTACATTTACTAAGGGTACATTCCGCTGTGGACCATGTCCCAATCGATGTGTCCGAATCGAATATGGCGCGTACGTACAGCATATGCTGCCAGGTGTCAGAATGCCGGGCCGCCCGTGGTTGTCGCCAAATGTATTTATCATTGGGTGACGTGAAACACGGAGCAGTCGCCAGCTAATTGCAACACATTCCATCAGTCGCACGCGGTGCCAAATGTCAACACATGCAGCATGTATCTAGACGACATCTCCCCAAAACTCACTATCCCCATCAACGCGTACACTGCGTAGTGATTGGTCCAGACGACACACCCGGAATTATTGACAGGGACGCGCACGTCCCCGCCAGCGCGCCTTCCCCCAGTTCCAATGCTCCTTCCCTACAACTCCTCCACCTCCCAACACCTTACGGGTTCATCTTCGTGCACCATCCTTCCTGTTCCAATCTGTTCATTTCTCTCTGCTCCCGCTCCCTAAAGATCTATATCTAGAAGCACTCTATCCGCCAGCATGGATGAACCAGCAGATCGCCAACGGGCGCCATCCGAAGGGATTATCCGCGCCGCCCGTGCTTGACGGCCAGGGATCCAGTGCACAGTCGCCCAGTGCGGCCCCGTCACGTGTGCGCCGTCAGCCTGCAAGGACTGCTGCAACACACCGGCTTGTCGTGGAGCAAGATGCTGACGATAACGATGATGACGACCCCGAACAAGGCCTCGACACCGACGACGACGAGGAGGAACCGGAAGACGCTGGGATGTCGCCCAGCGACGGCGACGACGAAGATGAGGACGTCGAGGACGACGCGGAGGAGGAAGCGCAACCTGTGTCTCAGCCGCCGAAACGGAGCGCCGCACGCGCATCTGGGACGAACAAAGGCAAAGGCAAGGCGGCGCCACCACCGCCACGCCAGGAGCCACGGAAGAAGCGGTCGGCTGCACCAGTCGAGAGGGGCTTATGGTCGGACAAGGAGAGCACCATATTCGCCGCGGCGAAGTGGTTCATGAAAGAGGAGCTCGAGTCTCTCAAGGGGAAGCAGGGGATGCAATACTGGGTCCGACTACTTGCGCACATCAAGGAGTCGAACCCTGGATGGTGCAGGGGTGTCAACGCGTTGCAGAAGCAGTGGCGTAACTTGACGCTCCTCTGGCGGGAGTACAAGCGTGGCGACGGGGGGTCAGGCCACGGCTCGGTTGAGAAACCACCGTGGTATCCGTACCTGGAGCTGCAGAACCAGGACACCGCCGCAGCCGCACCGCATGCGGTGGACGGCGGCGGCGCCACGGACGTCAACGTGCCGGCCGGCATGGAGGTTCCAAGTTCGTCTCAGCCAGGCACGTCAACACCAACCTTTACGGGTGAGTCGTGCTTCTATCACCTCTAGCTTGATATGCGTTTGACTTATCGTAGTTTGAATACGAAGAATCCGTTTATTTTATTCGCCAATATGCAGGTTACATCAAACAAGGGTAGTCGGACTAATCGATTCTACTATTTTCCCCGCTCCTCTATCACAGCTCCGCCGCCGCCGACCACCGCAACACCTAGGCGCGCACGGGTGCATGAGACGGCTACCATGCAAGCAGCCATGCTGGTCTCCGCGACCATCAAGGATTGTCACGGTGACGCGATGACGCGCATTGAGAGCCTCGTCCGTGAATGGATGGCGCAGGACATGCGACTTGCCCGCGAGCGCATGACTGAATCGGCGCCCCCGGACATGCACCGTGCGCCGCCGGATTTCAGCCCTCCTCCGCCACGCGGGGAGTCCGCACCACCTCCGAAGCCGCACAGCATGGCGACGATGTTGGCGACGTCAACACCGTCACTCCGGGTGCTGAGGATGTGGAGATATGGGTGCGCGGCGCCGACGATTAGCGTAAGAGTCCTGTAGGGCCTCACCCAGTCTTTTCCGCCTCTCTCTCCGAGCCTGTTGTGTTGGGGGAACACAGGGTTCCCACTTGTGTGTCGCAATGGCACCCCGTGTCCACCAAGGGTCGCGGTTGCGGGGCAGATTGAACCAGGCCATGTTTGTCATAGGATCGAATTTCCACTCGAGAATGTTGCACTAAAGGTGAGTACAAGGCGTATTTATACTCAGAAATACATAGAAACATCAGATAATCCGAACCTTCGGGAACGCGCTCTTCTAGAATAGATTATCACAAGTGCGCATAAGCACGCAATGTGAGAAGGATTGCGTGGGGGAAAAGAATGAATAAACTAGAAATGAGATGGGTACAAATAGAAAACACATAAGTGTTGTACCCTCTAAGAGCTACCCCACTACAGCCTAAATAGACCATAGCAGATATAAGTTTGACACACCCCCATAGGCAAAGTGGGGGAGAGCAAGAGGTCACAAGACCAGTCAAGAAAAGCAAAGCAAGCTCAGGGTGGATCACAAAGTCACCACACAGTCTGAGCACAAGCAAAGGGCCATAAGGCCAGTTCACATGCAGAGTTATATAAAGGAAAGCAAACAGTACAGTGAACAAAACCTAGCAAGTGTAAGCATGTAGGTATATGTATATACAGTACAGTACAAGCAGAGTCAAGAAGTCAACAAGTGAGGCACAGTAGGTACAAGGCCTAACACAGTACAGAAACGCTGATGATCACAAGGCTGAAGTGCCTTGGTGAAAACATCAGCAGTGTTGGCCTGAGAGGCCACGTACGTAAGACGAAGCTGGCCACGCTGCTGCAACTCTTGAGCAAGGAAGTAGCGCAGAGCAATGTGCTTCGTTCTGTGCTCCAGTCTGTGCTCTTGACACAAGGCCAGCATGGCCTTGTTGTCGACGTACAGAACTGGAGGAGAACGAGGCGCCTCTCCCAAGTCGGTCAGCAGGTAGGTGAGCCACCGAAGCTCCTGTGCAGCCATGGCTCCAGCGTAGATCTCAGCCTCACAACTGGAGCTGAGAACAGAAGAAGAGCGGGTAGACTGCCAGGAGACAGAACCGGAGCCAAGGCTGAAGGTGTAACCCTGTGACGACCGCTGCGTAGCCAAGTCGTCAACCCAGAAGGCGTCAGCGTGACCAGTGAGGACAACTCGA